GTAGAGTTTAATGAAACACGTAAAAATTTCAAACAATTAAAAATGAAGTTGAAATACCAGTGGGAAACACAGTGGAAAAATGCAGCCCCTGTACGCACAAAAGACTTACACGGTTTCTTCTTTAAAGAAAACAAAGGAACCACCTTAACGAGGAAAGAATTAACTCCCCTTAACCCATATGAGAATTGGACAATCAGAAAGTTCTCATTCGCACCTATTATCCAAGGGTGCCTGCTCGGATATGTGAAAATTAGAATACAACAATTACCAGATCTGGTTATAAATATTTCCACTAAGAAATAGAAATATTTGCAAATACTATTTCTCACAACTGTGTTACACATGCTTCATTTGATATAGTAATGTGTTTCTGTATATGTATAATGTGTGTATGTAATGTGATATATATCTATATAATAAATATATCTATGTAATATATATCTATATATAAATAATATATATCTATGTAATATATATCTTCCCAATACTTAATTGGGACATTCTACGAATAAAAAAAATTGCATAATAATATAGAAAAACTAATACGCTGTTATTTGCCCAGCCCTCGATAAAAATAAAAAGCAAGAAGTATCTGTAACTCTCGTTTGAGTAGAAAATATCAGAAATTGAAAAATATTGAGAAATGGCAAATGTTATAAAATTGAGAAAACACAAGTAGATAACACAATTACCTTCGCTCGAAAACTGTTCTGAAATCTGCAAATGGAGTTACAGATCCGGGAAATGTTGGAAACGGTAGCGTCGCAGATCTTTGATTTCATAAAATACAACTTACTTCGAAGAAATTCTTGCGTTACGAAAGTTAGCGATGAAGTTGTCGGCAGCGAATTCACTTTAGAAGCCCGCGAGGACCCTAATATCTGTGAAGTGCGGACAGTTAACACCCCGGAACCTAACCATCGAACACGGCCTAACGTCGGATCGTGGGACTCTGAAATCTCAAACTGAAGAGAGATTCGACAGACTGTGTACGGTACACTTTACGGAGCATAATCTTCGGTAAAAGCGGTTCGTAAAGCGGTGGAAACGGCTCTGGTTACGTGGTGCCGGGCTTTGTAGTGTTCACCGAACGTTCACGGTCCGGTCACGCCTAGGAGCATTGAATAATGTCCGAACGAACCGTGACTATGCCGTGACTGAATCGTTAATGTAATTCAAGCCTCGGGCGACCACTGTACTTTCGATTTTCGTCGTAGATAGCTTTATCCGGTATCTATGACCATCATAAGCTCGAGTGAACCGTGAAAGCTCTAATCACGATGACTCGGTAATCGCCGGCCCGGTTAATTCCATAGCGGATAACAATGCTTTATGAAGGGGCCGTTTCGAAAAATCTGCCACATGATTTGCCGTTCGAGCCAACCGATGACTAATAACAAGACTTCGCAGTCGTCGTTTTTATCTTATTGATAAACTTCGACTGTAGCCAACCAGTTAAATCGTGTTCCACGGCACTTTTATCTGCAGCTTTATGGCCGTACGGCTTTCCGTTCGCTTTGCATTTTATTACTGTCATACGCGGCATTATCTTTAAAAGCTGGTTTTATTCGGCCCGCGGATTTTTATCGCCGGCCAACAATAGTAGCGACGATAAATACCTGGCCCGACCTTAACGAACGGTCATTAGTCACTCGACTTTATTTTAGCGTCGCCATAATCGCGCGCGTGACAGCACACAGCGGCTCCCTTATTCGCGGCGTCGAAAGTATCGCGGGCGACAGATTACTTCAAATTCGCGCGATTTAAATCCAGAACCTGTTCGTGACTCATCGGGACGGGAGGCCGTGGGCAATCAAAGCCATGTATCCGCGGCGATCAATTAAAATGCGTTGCGCGTCGCCGACGCCCGCGCCGCGGCAATTGTTTCCGGAACAACTTATAATTTATTGACCGTTGCGTTGCGTCGCGTTGCATTGCGTTGCGTTCCGTTGCGTTGCATCGCGTTCCGCCGTTGCGTGGATCTTCTAATCCCGACCGCTTTCAGCTGCGATCCAACTTACGATGCTGGCTGCGCGCTCGGCCAACTTGTGTCCGATCGTGAGTACGATAGGAACGTAATACAAAAGTCCTTGATCGCGTGTTACACGACCACGTACACGTGTTCGTACGATCCTCCGATGATTCGTGCCTCGCGAACAGGCTGTCATCCGTCCGGGTGTCTTGTTTCTTTTTCGTTCCAATCGATTGCAATTTTCAGAAAAATTGCGTAGGATGGATGTCGAAATTTCTGTGCCACCGGATTAAGAACGCATAGAAAAGGAAAAGTTTTATATAGAAATTGATGATTTATATTTTTCTTATTATGTTCACCTATCGATATGCAAGGATTTAGAGAGAAATATTGCATCGTTTATGCGTTTAAACGTAGTCAATATTTTTCAATTGATGGTTCTGTCGAGTTCGAGTGGAATGTCTTATCAAAAATCGGAAGAAATGCTAGCTGAAGATTTCCGTATAAATGAATAATTAATGCGATTTATATCGCACGTTTTTTTATGATGCCGTATCTAATTTAAAAAGTAGTAAATCTACAATTTTGATGCCTTTTGTCCCGTACTCGCGAACCATATGCCATGACTATCGAGCCGAACCTGCACCGTTCTTTTTTTTCACGAATTATTGCCGATTTTTATGGTTGAAGTATTGCCGTGTTAAATGGACATTAAATCTTCCACCGACTGTGTCTAATCGTGAACATGATTAATATATAACAGGTGCTTTATGACGGTAATACGTTACCTGGTCGGAGGCACCAGTTGAGTAACTGTTTAATCAGTGCATTTTCCTGTAGCATCGTAATTGATGACTTAATTTGTTGTCATTAGTTCGGAGAGATTAAATTCTCTGTCGGGGTTACAGACAGACCGAAGATTTCAAGCGATTTCAGCGAACACTTGCCCGATTGATAAGTGCTGCGCTATGATTCCGTCGCTTTTTGGCATTGTTCTGTAGTGGAGACTGTTAGACATTTGAAGAACAATCGCGCGGATATTTTTTCCTTTGGTAAACTGGAAGAGAGACTTCGTCGGCTGCGAATATAGAAATTAAGTGAAACGTTCTCGTCTATTGTACGTATACATATAATATTTTTGGAATGTAATATTTAATAATAATGTAATATTAATGATAATTGTAATAATTGCACATTAACATGTGAAAAAATTGACATTTTAATGCAATTGAAATACAAAGTGATTAAAATAGAAAGTAAGTGAATACAATGTAATTAAAATACAGTTCTTCAAATTACAGCCCAGAACTTTAATATTGAAGAACAATTGAAATGCAAAGTAATTAAAATAGAAAGTAAGTGAAATACAATGTAATTAAAATGCAGTTCTTCAAATTACAGCCCAGAACTTCAAAATTGAAGAACAATTAAAATACAAAATGATTAAAATAGAAAGTAAGTGAAATACAATGTAACTGAAAGACAACGTAATTGAAATACAGTTCTTCAAATTACAGCCTAGAATTTTGCAGCACTGAGACATTTTTATGTTTTCCTTTCGCGTACTGATCTCTTTGCCTTTTCCGCACATCTTCTTCTCTTACCACCTACTAATTTATTACCTTTTCATTCCTAATTAATGTAACTAAATTACTTGGTATTTTGCAATTACGAATTGCATTGTAATTTAATCGAATGAAAATCCGAATTACGAATTACAACGTGATTGAATTACGATGTAAATTGAATTACTTTTTAATTATATCTCCTGTAATTCACTCGTGATTCTGCACAACTCTGCTGGGGTTGAGAACCGGTAGCTAAATAAAATCTGCGATCACCTTGTATACTTACGTCCGCAACGATCCTCGAGATACAACATTGTCTCGTCAGCGGCCGTTTAATAGCCGATCCAAACGAAAATGTCGCGCGCGGCTCGCGTTTGAATTGTCTGGCTTGCGCTTTATTACGGCCACAACAGGTCCGCGATGCGCCTCGCGGCCCCGTGCATTTAACGCTTATTGCCAGAAACCGTGACTGTGGTCAGTGAATGTTCGCGGCCGCTTCCGCGGAATGATTCACTCGTGGCTCGCATGCGCCGGCCCCGTTTGTTCGCCAAGTGCACACGTCGCTGGCAAAGCCGACGCGACGGACCATCGCGTCGCGTCGCACCACGCCACGCCACGTCGCCGAATACGGCTTCGAATTTTTCCCCGATTCTACCGGGTGTCCCACAAAGTCAATCACGGATCCGATATACACATGTACTCGTAATTTCTCGTTCACTCGGTGCGTTCATCGAATGCAGGTAACCTTTCCTAGTTTGGGATGCAAATCGCCATTTTGTCTCCGAGATAGAGGCTGGATTAAATTATTAAATAGAATAAAAAAATATTGAATGAATTAGAGTAAGTTGCTGTTTCATATTTCATTTATTTATGTTGTAATTTTTCCGCATAATGCTCCACACATTTATACATAATATAAGCTGGTGGAGCCGGTTAGCGTGGGGTGACCAATTGCTGTGCCTTTGGTTAGTTTTCTAGAACAATTAACTTTCTGTTTATCGAACAGGACACACATTATATTTGTTATCCTTTTCTTTTGCTCATTTTTGAACAGTAAATCTTTTCATTCTCTCATTTTGTTTCCTTTCGAATCAAAAAATTGTTGTATTCTTTTATTCCGTTTATTCTGTAATAAAAAAAAATAATTACCTTGCTCAAGTGAAATTTGATGCAATACCGCACTTCTACGGATTCGACAAAACAAAAATTTTGTCGCTTCCAAGATGCCAGAAATATTAGCAGCCCCGTTCCATCCCCCCGGAGATGGGACATTCGAGCGGAGAGGGTTAAAATTCTACGCGCGCACTCTCGCTCGCGGTAGAACTGAATCTTCCGCAAGTTTTGTCCGCGACAATAGCGGCAGCTCGTCCTTGTTGTTTCTTCCTAGAACGTCCTCAAAGTAAATTAACCCTTTCGCTGCCTACCCTCGAGCGGATTGTAATCCAAAGCGCATGTTGCAGACACGGCGGACTACCACGAAACTCCGGCGCGTGTACAACCTCAAAGGGTATTCAATAAAACATGGCCATTGAAAGGAATGAGGCGCTACGGAGAGGAGTTCCCTTGCAAATAACGTAAACAGTATTGTCGATGATAGGAATTGTCGCGCCTGCAGCGCGCTTCGAGCCGCAGCTTCCGAAGTTGGGCGATATCTTCGATGAAAGGATTCTCCAAGGCACTTATCGCGGTGCAGGAAAACTGCATATTTATGGAAACTGCGTTCTTCTAGTATGCTGTAAACAGCCTGGTAAGTGAAACGGAATGTGTATCTGTTTTTGATGAGTTACTTTCGTCGATTAACGCGAGAACTACCGAGCAGCTAAAGCTGAAGGCTTGATATGCTTCAATTAAGAAATTTGTCTAATCATTTCCTAGGCACCAGACTTCATAACTTGAACAGTTCTAAGAGAAGAAACGTGAGACCGATCATATTAACCGGCATGGTAGGTTTAGCGTTAAAAACGCAACGGTGTGTCGACACATTGCTACGAGAACTTACGTTACGAAATTCTTGGCTGGAACTTTTGCTTGTAAAGAATGTAATACTAATTTAGAAACTAATGTGTTCTTGACGCAAACAAATGAATGAAACTTTCATTGTTGGTGCATCTGGCGGGTAATTTTTACCTCGTTCGTGAGCGTCTTGGCATGCAATTTGTACAAGCTATTATAAACATACGAAAGTAAAAATCTTGCCAACTTCAGGACTACAGGATGGATTAATATGGTTTGATTTCTAATAAAAAAGAAACTAGAAATAATTTCGCGAGAAACTTCTTAATGGATATCTTAATTTCATTGTACATTGCAGTACAAATTTTGCCGAAGTTCGAATAAATGCGCTCTTGTCAAGTATGAATAGGACAAATAGAAAATTGTCGAGACGTTAAAAGCGTTTTTAAGAATGTTGTTACATTATTTAGTTTTATTATTATTATAAGAGGGGTCAGACATTTTTGTATCTAATTTATACCTCTTACACAGACATTTTCATCTAATTCATGTTTCCTATAATTCATCTGTACAATGTTTGCTTTACATGAAGACACGTTCGTCTGATTTATATTTATTCTAATTCGTTTAAACCGTGTCTACTTTGTGTAAATACATTTTCATTCAATTTATGTGTTTGACAAATCGTTCAGACAATTTTCATTTGCCATAAAAACATTTCGCTCAATTCAATTTATTTAGTTAGACTCTAGTTGGTTCAATTTATTCAGAAAATTCTGATTTGGGCAATTTTAAAATTTGACAATCTCCATTCACAGACAATTTCCACTCAGCGTGAAAACCCGAATAATCTGGTTATTACAAAGCAATGTGTGTCAGTGCGGTTTAATGCACCTTGGTTCCAGTGTGAAATTACGGCCGACTACCGGGCACGCTGGGCCCGGACAAAGGTCAGTCCGTTCATAAACAAGCAACAGCACTGGTTCTGGAACACCCTGTACACAGTGCGGCGTGTCCACCGACCGCCCCGCCCCGACCAATTTGTTTTACGAACTGCCGCGATATGTAATTTAATCGAATTTATCGCGCCGGTCGGCGGGAGTTACAGACGCGATACACCAGCGAATAATGCTCCCTGTAACGCACGCGATCTTGCTTGTCCCATACGTACCGGAAACTGGTGTGTACCGGGAACCAGTACCGCAGTTCGCCGATCCCCCCTTCACCCATCCCCCTCAATAAATTCTCCATCCTCGAGTGAGCCCGTAACTCGCGCCCGCGTTTTTCTAATCCCGACAACGGGCGAACGAGGGGGGATGTTTTCGCGCGTGCAATCGGAATTATAGAGCCGTTAGGCGAACTGTGAAACGCGCTCTCGCCGTTTACCGATACCCGGTCCCGTGTTATTGAATATCTATCGCTTAAGTGAAATCCGAGTGAATTACAGTGTTCCCTCTCTATCGTCGCGTCGCGCGCGATCCAACGATCACGCGGACACTTCTGGTTGATTTGTTTCGAAAAATCTCGTTCGCGTCGCTGATGGATACCTGGCCGATGGAGATTAGGCAGTTGTTGCCGGGTGAAATGACGTTTTCAGATAGGTGAGACGGCTTTCGGTCGGTTATATATATATATAGGGTGAATCTGTAAAAAGATTCGATCTCGAGGATCTTTTATTTGGTAGCGTTTAATTGGAATTGGTTCTTAATTAAGTAGGTATGTATTGTGGTTTTATTGAGTCCTTACGGAGATCATTTTGATTTGGTACAATCCTTACGGATACAATTTTGTATTGTTTATCATCGGCTTGATATCATTTTAGATTTGATTTAAAACGTTGCTTACAAGGGATGATCGTCAACCCGGAATTTCAAAAAGTTCTGAAACTTTGGGGATACGTGGAGCATATGCACAGATATGTATTACGCAATTTTCTTTTCTTACGTAAATTCATTTTGAGGGGTTGGAAGTAACCCCTAAATATTCGTCTATTTTTCATTTTTTGCTGTAAGGGATGATCTTCGATCCGGAATTTCAAAAAATTCTGAAACTTTGGGGATACGTGGAGCATATCTAGATATGTATTACGCAATTTTCTTTTCTTGCGTAAATTGATTTTAAGGGATGGAAAGTAACCCTTAAATATTCGTTTATTTTTTATTTTTTGCTATAATTCATGAATCGTACGAGATAGACAAATAATCGTCAAACAAAAATTGCTGCTTTTGCCCAAATCTAATGAAAAAGCATAACTTTTTCGAGTTGTTTAAAAAGTACAAAATTAATCATACAAGAATCATACATCAATCATTTTTCTTCAATCCAATTTTAATATAAAGACAATCTAAATTGCGTGACTTTTAGAAATAAATCTATTAATAAACGTTATAAATCGTCAGAGTCACTTAGTCAATCACAATTGTTCCGGAATAATATAAAAGTCTGATGATTTTATGCGTTTATGGCAAAAATGGAACGGTGAAACTTAAAATCGAGGAAAAATTAAGTGATACGAAGAATGTTGATACTATTATTTATACTATTACTTATTATTTATGCTATTACTTATTATTTATACTATTACTTATTATTTATACTATTATTATACTTGGCTCATTTGTCATGCAATCGACGCAGCCAATTTTTTGTTTCGCCTATAAAGATCCGCGCAGACTGCCGACGACTCAATAGGTTCCTATAATCCTGTCGCATTATCCACCTGCAGAATGTTCCTTCCTCGTCGTATAGTTTGAACGTTCAGAACAGAGCGGCTGGAAAACGCGCGTCGCAGCCAGCGGCGCTTCCAAATGAAATAGTTGAGCCGAGGAGATGCCTTTGTGCTATCTCCGTTGAATCAAGGACAGCGTTTTAGTCGAGGAACCGTAACACGGTAGCGTATCTGCTTATCTGCGTGAAGCCGCGGAGATTTTATTGGTCCCAGCTGTCCTCCGTTTGGATCCCCGAAGAGTCTTGTCCCCGTTTCGTATGCACGGGACATTAACACGCTTGAAAAACGCTCGGTCGTGCGCTCGCGTAGAACTTCGCCGAATGATTTAAACGAGCGACGCGAGCCGCCGCGTCGCGTCCCGTCCCGCCGGCGAGAAAAGGAAAGAGGGACGAGGGAGAACGAGTCCTGTTTGCAGTCTTCCAACGTGTCATTAAACGGGCCGATTTATCATAATTTATATGAAGCTCGCCGGGCTTAACGCGACGGTCATCCGATTATGTTATTACGACCGTGGGTGTCGTTTTGATGTACGTCCGCCCCGCGGTCTTCCGACTCCTAAAATATGCACACGGTGCAACCGACGCCCTTGATGTCCCCTCATCGCGACCGATCCACCCTTGCGACATCGAGATTTATGTAATCATCGCGAGCTTATAACCCGACGGTGCTCATTAATCGTCCGATCGAGCAATTATCCTCCGATGGGACCCGACCGGTCGATTCCATGCATTCTCTTGCTCGTTCTCTGTTATCTGACCTCGGCTGATCACAAATTTCCAGTACACGTTCGTTCGACATCTTCGAAATGGCGCGCGAGATGGGATCGCAGTCATCGATTTTCGTGAAACATTTTCTGACGATCAGAAATCAATCGATCATATTTCGACGCTTCCGTCGATATTTATTATCTATTTTTCGTTCGACTGTTCTGTATTTTATTTTATTCTATCTATATTAATGTCTTTCTTACTACTGCAATGGCTAAATAACTGTTTCCAGAAGTTCCAATCTGTTGGAATAATAACGAAATTAAAACACGATGTTTCTTCAACTTTTATGCATATATTGAAAATTTCATCGAAAACGGTTAACGTTGTTATGGTCTATAAACAATTAAAGACAGCGAAATCTTGGGATCTGATTTTTTATCATTTCGGTTTGTATAAATTACATTTTAAGACAGCATTTCCGAAAATGTGACTTAAGCCTCTGTGATTCTACTCCACTGAAATGTAAAATATTTTCATAAATGATGAGTATTATTTAAAACAACGAAATATGAGTCGGCTTATTTGTGTTCTGGATTCGTCACAAAAAATTTTATCAGAATCGACGACCCAACAACTCTTTTCTTGTCAATTGTTTTGTTACAGAGCAAGATTAAATTTTTGCTAGTTTATAAAATACGTCTGGCGGTGCGTGGATCGTTTCAGATTGATCTACTCGCGTTCAAAATGTGTTCGGATAATAAATCATTCAGTTATCGAAGATTGACGCGATCGAGTTTCCATTATATTATTACAAGATTCAGTTTATGTTACAAAAGAAATAATCGGAGCAGCGAAACCGTCACACGAGGGTCTCATTTTCGGCACACAGAGACAGTAATAGAGAACCGTGAGAAATTGCAGCAAATCGTCAGGAATTTGATCGAGTCCGAATTGATCAGAATCGAATTTATTCGGACTGCGCCAATCCATTTCGTACCGTTCCGATAACTTCTATTTAACGAAACCTCAAATCCTACTACGATCCTCCAACCGATTCAAGCAGCCTCATCGTCGAACTGATTGAAAAAGACTCATCCTGAAACCGAGATACAGTTCCGTGTCATCGAAAATTTATTACAATTCAAATTTATAATAAAACTGCATTATAATTAAATTATGGATTTTTAAGGAATGTGAAAGCTTCAAAATATTTTTCGTAGAACTTTAAATCGGAATTTTAAGTTACTTTGTGAGATTGATCAGAGAGCAATAGGATTAAGAAATTTATGGATCATCGTAGAGCGAAGTTGAAGTTGTGATTCGACGTAAAAAAATTGATATAGGAAAGCAAGCAAGAAAAAAGCATACATTGCTGAACTTCTCGAAGTTGGCAATCTGTCGCAGCGATAAATTGCGAGGAATGTAGTAAATTCCCTCTAATTCGCGCTCAGATTGCGCACAAAAATGGACAATTTGGGAAGAGGAGATGCGATTATTCGAGCCTTGCGGCACCCTTTTATCCTTTTAATCGGTTCTTTAACTGTTTAATCGGTGATTATAAAAATGAGCCGCAAGATTCGAATAATCGTATCTCCCCTTCCCAAATTGTCCATTTTTGTGCG